ATATCTATCTCTTCATCCTGGTTTGGTGGTCAAAAAAAAAGAAAAAAGTTTGGTGAACTAGATGCTTTGGACCACCTCATCTGTTCTGTATCTCAACAGCATAAATAAGAGATGGATTGAGCCCAAATCATGATGAAGCTGCAGTTGAATTAAAGAACATAAGAGCAGGTTATATACAGGCTGCTGTTAATGAATGAGAGTATCCAAAACTCCCTGATAAATAAATGGGAGAGAGTGGATGGAAACTGGCCAGAAATACCCAGCCTTTACTGGCCAGAAATACCAGTTTTTACTTTATTGGGAAGAGTTTGAAATGGTTGCAGTCTCAAAGCTATGTCCTGCATGAGCCAGTTCATCAATGCTGAAAAAGCAGCAGGTCAGAGGAATGAGAAGATACGTTGTTGGTTAAGACAAAGAGAAATCAAGGACGTTTCTGCTCTGTTGACCCTCCACTCATATATGAGGCCACACAGGTCTTTGTTCAGAGCAGCTCCTAATGCTGGACAGCTCAAGATAATAACACAAGTTTTCTTGTCAGGCCCACCAAAACTCTTATTTCTGGTCACTGACAACCAAATCCCAAGTACCCAACAAGTAAAGATTCCCTGGTAAATGCTGATCTTCAGACTGAAATGTGGTACCATCAAAAATTTGCATGCTTAATAATCAAGGTTACATTTTTGTCCACTGCTGTTTAACCAAAAGTCTCAAAATATTATACAAGATAAAGAGTAATCAAATCACTTACCTGGCAGGGAAATATATATACTGCTAACGTAGACTGTAAATTTCAAGGAAGTCATTAAAAGTGGCCATGGCATTTGCATGAAAAATGTCAAGCAAGTTTACTGGGCAGCATATGGAGAAGTGATATCTTAAGATCATCTTGATATGTAATCAACCAAAGGAGCCATAGATGTCTCCTTTAATCTCTCCAGAAATAAGAGACAGTTTTGTATTAGGTTAGATGCTTGTCATGGTTTAGGGTTGGGCTGGCCACTAAATGCTGGACAGATGCTTTCTATTAAGCCCTCTTGCCTCCTCAGAAGGGAAGAGAAAGAGAATAAAGGAGAGAGACTTTACGGGTTGGAAAATAAAACAAACTTATTTAATAAAACAGTAATACTAATACTACAGGATAATAATGTAAATAGGGAGAATAATTAAATATATACAAATATGTACAAATTATATATATAAAACAAATATAAAATCCTCCCGCCACCACCCCACCAATGATGATTACATCACCAGAGGCTCTGCAGAGCAGGGCACTGGAAAAGTCCCAGTCCGGATCCAGTAGCAGGTGGGATCAGGATGCAGTTACTGGATTCAGGAACACACGGATCAGGATTGGAGGCAGACAAACTAGCAAGGTTTTGCTTGGACTTCAGCCATTGCAGGATAAAGGGGAAGAGAAGAGGCAAGACCCTTGTGGTCCCTCAGCTTTATACTGAGTATGACGTATGTAGGACGGAATACCTAGTTGGTCAGTATTGGATGACCTGTCCTGTCCACTCCTCCCAGCAGGTGCAGATACGGCACCCACGGTGAGACAGTGGCCGTGTGATGTTTACATAACATACAAGCATTATCACTGGTAGAAGTGAACACTGTCTGGAAAAAACATGCTGTTAGTTTCAGCAAGTACAGCTACTTAGAAAAGACATAGCTGAAAAGTAAAATCACTAAATAGAAAATTAGTTCTATTTAGCTCAAACCAGGACAATGCTTAATGCTAGACATGCAAACCTCTACTTTTAGGGATAGGAAACCCTGAATACCAGGCAGCCTTGGCTGAAAGGCCACAATAGAAGTAATGCTCAAGTCCTGTATCGGTGGCAAACAGGAGACTGTACTCCCATCAGTAACCCTGATGTGTGGCAGGGAGAGTTAACAGTGTGCACTGAGATCAAACATGATGCTGTTTTGTTTGCATGAACCATGCGTGGTAGGGAATGATACCTTATTGAATGTCCTTTGGATGATGTATATTGAAATTACTACAGTTAATGATTGTGGTTACTAGACACCTGATGACACTTGCCAGGAGAGCAAGTATGAAATTAGCACTAGTGTACCCTCTAATGATTAGCACTTCTTCCTTCTTTGAAGATTCTTTCTATTTGAAGGATCTCTGGTATCAGAAGTTCGTACAGGTCTACTGAAGTCAGTTGTGTTATTATGAAATACATCAGCTGAGAAACTGGACTCTTCTTTCATTTCCGTACATGTCTTTCATAAGCCAACTCAAAGAAAAGAAAATGGCATTCTTTCCATTTACTTCAGCTAGATTTAGGGCATACCTTTAAATAGCTGACGTGCTCTACCAAAAAGTTGAAGAGTGACTGAATTTCAGTGTTGGTTGAAACAAGCTATGTCTATCCTTATATCTCTATGTATATCCTATAACTCCATCTTAGAAGATACTGGAAATGAACAAATTTTAATTGTAAGGTGCTTTGGAATCTTTGAAGAGAGCAGCTATAAAAGTGTAAAGCATACATGGCAAATACTATGGTTATTTTTAGGAGAAATCCAGCAGATTACTGAAAGTTGGTCTTTTTATAAAGGTTTTTATATTCTCTCTTTTCTGGTAAATCCTCAGAAGTCTTGACAGAATAGAACTCTCCTGTGCCATGCAGTAAACAAGTGCATAGTACAGCACAGTTTCTGCTTTCAAGAGCTTTCAATCTATAGTCATAAAGCAAGTAACAGTGATAGCAAGAATAAAGAGGTAAAGGGCATATTGCACAAAGTACATTTGGCAAAATGGAGACATTACTTAAGTCTTGACAGCACAAAAGGGTATAAGGAGATCATACTGTTCAGCAG